ATATAAACTAAGGTAATAAACTAATAATAATTTATATAAACTAAGGTAATAAACTAATAATAATTTATATAAACTAAGGTAATAAACTAATAGTAATTTATATAAACTAAAGTAATAAACTAATAATAATTTATATAAACTAAAGTAATAAACTAATAATAATTTATATAAACTAAGGTAATAAACTAATAATAATTTATATCAACTAAAGTAATAAACTAATAATAATTTATATCAACTAAGGTAATAAACTAATAATAATTTATATAAACTAAAATAATAAACTAATGATAATTTATATAAACTAAGGTAATAAACTAATAATAATTTATAGATATAAAGAGGATACAGTAATAGTTTGGTTTGATTGTTTATTTGAAGTTAAGCACAAAGCTACACAAAGGGCTATCTGTTCTATGCCCACTACGGGTATCGAAAACCGGTTTCTAGCGTTATAAGTCTTACAGCTGTGCCACTGGGGGGGGGGGGTTGAAGCAGAGGTTGTATTATAATTTGCATCAATACGAAAACCAACAAAACTAATATTAATGAGATTTTCATAATAATTATTGTTTGTTTGTTTTTAAACACAACGTTGCATGATGGGCAATCTATGTTGTGCCAACGTAAGGATCGAACCCAGAGCCTTCCCTCTAGTTTTACACTGCTAAAATAGGGATGGCTAGCGCAGATAGCCCTTTGTGTAGCTTTGCGTGAAATTCAAAACAAACCAAAACAAAAATGAACCAAGAATGTTAATATTATGAGCTCTTAAGCTTACCGTGAGCCACCAAGGAGCGCTATAATTATTCTGTAAAAGGTTTTATAGCAGTTGGATCTTAGTAAAGCTAATCTAATTTGGTAATAAAATGATTCAGCGTTTTCTGTTAAGACAGGTTTAGGCAGATGTTCTTCCAGCGTAGAAGCTTTGCATATCATCTCTGACACAGTTTTAGGTAAAAGTGATTATACAGGGTGAGGCAAAAGTAAACTACCCAGAGTCTTGAGAAATAATATCTATTTGAAACTGTTATACATCAAAAGCTAACCAATTTAAGTTAAAGTAATTATTAAAGAACATGTTAATCACTGCCAGGAAAATGAAAATAACCATTTATATATTTTAATATTATAAGCTAATACTGAAAACATTTTTGAGGGGTGGGGGAGTTCCTTTCCATGTTTTTGTTGGGTTTTTTTTTGCATCTCCTATTTCGTACAAAATTATGTTTTATTTCAAACGACACAAACCAAATGGAGATCTATATTTTGAAGTGCTACACGTAAATAAATCAACTGGCACCAGAACTACAACTGCTGCAGGTTTGTAGCTGATGTTCGTTTCGCCTTTTTTTCACAAATTATTTATGTTGATCAGCTGCTTATCAGTTAAAGTTTTTTAACATCGCAAAGTCACCTTTTCCTAGTTCAGCATTACCGATTTAACGTCCAACTAATAAGTCTTTGTTCAAGCATTTATCGCACGCCAACACATGGGGCAAAACTTTTGACCTTTAATTCCCAATAAGCTAAACTACATAAGCAATCACCTGTCAAAAAAAAAAAAAATGGAGAAATACGTTTGTTAAGTTGAAGAAATATAAATACACAACACGCCAAATAAACGTTCTTATGCACCATTCCATATATTTAAAGCCTCAAAGAAAAGCTAACCACGTTATTTTATGAAAATAGTTACTCGAATGTCTAAACATGCAATGAAAACTATAAGGCAGTTGATAATCATCCCTCACTAATTGACCACTGTAAAAACTGGGACAATACTAAGATTCTGTTAAACAAAGGGCAGAATATTTCTAAACAGAGTTTGTTGAACTGCGTGTTATAATCTCTTCCGCTACATCTTTAAGCCCTTGTTAATCTTGTAGTTCTAGAACGTGCCATCATATGATTACTCCAGTTGTTGTTAATATCAAACTCATTGTTAGCAGCAACCTAAAAATAACAACCAGTAATATCAAACTTACTGTTGGCAGCAACCTGAAAATAACAACCAGTAATATCAAACTTACTGTTGGCAGCAACTGGTAACATCAAATTTACTGTTGGCAGCAACCTGAAAAATAACCGGTGATATCAAACTTACAGTTAGCAGCAACCTGAAAAATAACAACTGGTAATATCAAACTCACTGTTGGCAGCAACCTGAAAAATAACAACTGGTAATATCAAACTTACAGTTAGCAGCAACTTGAAAATAACAACTGGTAATATCAAACTCACTGTTGTCAGCATCCTGAAAATAACAACCTGTAACTGCCAGAACGATGGACAATTCCGTTTTTCTATACATGCTAATTTTAAATTATAATCGTTTTAACATCCAAAGTAATCCTAGAAATGACGTAATTTACTTTCATTTCTGTTATTTTTTATCATTTTGTTCTCTTTACAATCACTCCAGTTTGCTGTTACAATGGCACGAGCACTTTTCATATGTCAAGATCACTTAGGAGTGAGTATTTTCCTGTGTTGAAAACCATATTGGAGTTTCCCAGAGGCCCCTGGCCCCAATTTCGGAATCCCGATTTAAACCATTAATAATGTCTCAAATACAGTCAATTTATTGCACTTGCTAATACCGTGTTAGTTTTATATGGTAGTTTGTGAGATACAATAATGAATTTCTTTCTCACAATCGTTTGTATTGGTTTAAAAGCTTCTTTTTTTATATAAAAGACCCTCCCTCCACTTTTTTCATAGTGTTATATTCTACTTGAATATTATGTGCATTTTGTAATTTAAAAAACTGATCAAGTGTCGATTACTGTAAGTTAAATAAAACAATATAAACATTCGAGCTTTTCGTGTCTAGATATTACCGTAAGTTAAATAAAACAATATAAACATTCGAGCTTTTCGTGTCTAGATATTACTGTAAGTTAAATAAAACAATATAAACATTCGAGCTTTTCGTGTCTAGATATTACTGTAAGTTAAATAAAACAATATAAACATTCGAGCTTTTCGTGTCTAGATATTACTGTAAGTTAAATAAAACAATATAAACATTCGAGCTTTTCATGTCTAGATATTACCGTAAGTTAAATAAAACAATATAAACATTCGAGCTTTTCATGTCTAGATATTACTGTAAGTTAAATAAAACAATATAAACATTCGAGCTTTTCATGTCTAGATATTACCGTAAGTTAAATAAAACAATATAAACATTCGAGCTTTTCATGTCTAGATATTTTCTGTGGGATAAGGTTTAACTTGCCAATCTGTCAAAAAATTGTACGTTTAGCCTTACGATAAGGTGTGATGAAATGACAATGCACCATTTATATTTCAAGGTGTATTTCTCCTGACACTACAAACAATTCTTTGAACACTATGTATCTTGTTTCTAACACTCCTGTTTGGCTGAATAACTTACGACAATCTTCAAGACATTTTTGTCCTTTGGGAAGTAAAATTCACTATAGGTCTTGTCGTTTAAAGATGCTTGATTTGAACATCGTATAATCTTTGCCCTCACTGTAAGCTCTCTTGAAGCGGATTAAAATCACTTCGATGGTAATATCTAACATAAATAAGGCCTCAAGAGGATCTAGAAGCCGTCACTTGTGCTCGATGCTGGAGGTATTAATATATATATATATAAAACTTAATTAAGGAAATTTTATAGAACTATCGTTCAATGCAGCTTTTGTCTCTAACACGTTATTCTTAGAATCAAGGCAAAAACAGAAATCTTCATTTCCTTTCTTAGATTAGTAAAGCTCTTTAAATTTGAAATATTATGATTTAAAATCAACATTTTGCAGTAGAATTGAATTATTCAGTACCTTCGTCTGAAGTGTCTGAAACTTTTCTTTTTAAAATGAAAATAATAGAAAACACGTTATTATTATTAGTTTGTTTCACTTCATTGAAAAGAAAGTGGCATGTTTAATTTAATAAT